GTGGGGGGGGTTGTTATATATATCTGACGGCAGGGGTCGTGCTACGTGGTCCGTAGATGTCTAGATCAGGGAGTCGGCATCACACATATAGCATGCGTGTCGTGAGTGAGAGGGTAGTGGAAGAAGGAAAACATAGAGTCATCTTGTCTTGACTATTCCTTAAAAGACAGAACTACCGGTTAAGGGAATTTCTTTTTAAAAATATATAAATTGTTAAATTCCCTTGACATAAGGGCAGCTTCAACTTAAGTTGCTCTTGGTCACAAGATTCAACCCCACGTCTTGTTGGAGATTCTTTTATATATATATATATATATAAAGAATTTTGAAAGACACAACTCTACTATCACAGAAGGAACTTCATTTCCTTTTTCCTGTCCTATACAAAGGATGGTTAGCGGAACCAGCAGACTGACTCATCTGTCAAACTATACCTGGTTTAGATAGTAAATTAGCCAGAAAAGAATTCATGGCTAAGAAGAAAAATAAAATCACCCTTTTGCTCATCTTTCCTAGTACAAAATGGTGGTGGGCAGCTCTAAAACACTCTGCCTTGAGCTTGCTCACACTATGAGTCCTGAATTCGGATAAATGAGGAGGGCGCAGTAGGTTGATAGCCAACGTAAACTAGCCAATCTATGATTAATCCTCACAATACATAATATATTGGACGTGCTCACCTAGGCACTTGTTACATAATATAGGACTACGATGAGCTTGAACGGAGCGACATGACTAGTGGAGATACATGTAGCTGACTCCAACTTACTTTGGATTGAGGCATCGTTATTGTTGTCGGGCAGACCTCCAGACCAATATCCAGTTCACTAGTAGGTCATGAATGAGCATATGCACGCACAATATCCATTATTGGATCTCGGCAAATTGGACATTTTCCTGTACCCCTAAGCAATTCATGAGCACACTTGAAACAGGTGCACATATGCCCACATCTGAAAACCATGAGCAAAGTTATGGACATGATTAGTATTATATATTGATTTCTACTATACTTGTCGTTGGACAAGAGTGGGTTGCTCTTGGGGTGACTCGAGTCACCCCAAGAGCAAGGTAGAGAGTTATCGGAGGGAGGGAGCCGAGGGTCTATCGGAAACAGCCTCTTTACCCAGGGTAGGGGTAAGGTTTGCGTATAAACTACCCTCCCCAGACCCCACTAGTAGGATTATACTGGGTTGTTGTTATTGTACTATACTTGTCGTTCCCTATAGCGTGGCTAAACTGATATCCACATACAAGTACCTGTAAAGCAGTGAATCAACAGGCTCCTCACAGCAAATACAACAATTTCCTTTGTTTGGACCCTTGTTATCTGAATTCCTCTTGCTTTTTTGACCTGCATTACAAAAATGTAAGTCTCTTCTTTGCATAATCAAAGTAGAAATGGAAAATAGAAAAGGGAGGAAAAAGGTCACATGTATCAAGTTGAGATGTAAAGCCAAATCTTGTGGTGAATTTGTTAACTAATACACAGGCTGGGCAACGCGATGCACAAGGCATCCCGCGTTCACGGTGTCCGGGGAAGGGCCATATACCTAGGGGTGTAATATAGACAGCCTACCCTAATGCAAACATTAGTGGCTGCTTCCACGGCTCGAACTCGTGACCTATAGGTCACACGGCTCCCCTTCTGCTAACCAATACACAGAGAGTAAGAAATTCATGATATGATGCAACATATAGTTCAGGAAGTTAAACATCAGGGATTTTGGTATATTTCCCATTAAGCTTTTCTTATAGTTTGTTATAAAGGGTTTACTAATTCAAAACACAAACTTCAAGGATTTTTGCTTTTTCCATATTCAGATCTTTGTGTTCTGGCTCACCTAACTGGCTAATTGCAGCAGCAACGTCCTGCTTAATCGAACGTTGTAATTTCATTTGCATGTTCATGCAACTCTTCATAGATCTCCGTATTTCAAAAATCTCTTGGTGGAGTTGCTCCATATGTCCTCTCAATTCATATATGAGTTCCATTTCCTGTTAATGCACATGTCATTAGTTCTAATCCCAACTTACAAATAATATCAGGCAAGTCAGCCCAAGGATAGACAACTCACAGTTGAAGAATTTCTTGAAGAAGAAGAGCACGGTTTAATGCGTTGGGAGCAAATACTAGATGATTGAGATTGTAGTGAAGAAGGAGATGGGAAGTGATAAGAGTCATCAGTTACTTCCTTGACTTGATTTAGGCTCCATGATGATGTGTTGTCATCAATTAATACTTCATCTTCATCGTCATAACCCGAGTCTTGTTCTTCTTCTACCTCAACATCCTCTTCTGTTGCATTATGTCGTAATACCACGTCCTCTTCCTCTTCTTTATCCACTTGTGTTGGTACTTCTTCATCCTCAACATGGCTGATTCTCATGCCATTTGGTAGTTGTTGTGACTGAGACGCCATTATTCGATCAATTTTCTCCCTCAAATCACTGGTAAGAAAATTTGAAACACTTTTTCTGCACGGATTAGAAAATCAAAGTCAAAGTGCAAGTCATGGACTATGCTTCAATTTCAAAAGCTAAGTGATGAATATCATAGGAGCAGTGTTTCAAAGGCGAAAAGATCTAAAAAGCGCTCCATGTCTATTGGGGCTTTAAGCGCAAAGAACAATTTAGGTGTGGGCTTTAGTAAGAAAAAGCGCAACAAAGGGTAAAAAAGCCCTATGTAATTCAAGAAAAGAGTAAAAATTTAATTTCATTCATAATGTTTTCTTAACAAGTAATACATTTATTTTCCAATTGTATTTGTTGTTTAGTATCGACCAGTTTAAAACATGACACATGGGCAATGAGGTCCGCCCCTTTAATGCCTTGCTTATAATGAAGCACGGCTTGAGCGAGGTGAAGCGCCCTCCCTGAGCTTTTCTGAGCTTCTTAAATGAGCCTTTGACCACACTGTATAGGAGTGGGTAAGGAGATAGATGCATAAGGCAAGCAAGAGAGTTTATTAAAATATAGCATTTTTTTCAAACTCTTAGAAACATATGTAGTTGATTCACATCTCAAATCGAACGAGTCTTTTACAGTCGTCACGTTGAGTAGGGCAAAAACAGATAAAGTTCGCGTTCAAGTCCTGTTTTCAGTGATTCAAATTGAAAATATAGATGCTCTAAGAAGTTTACTTTGCCATTGCCTTCATTTTCTGATTCTTTCATCTTTAAAACTGCCTCAAAGCCTTTAACATTTTCTGCTATGCTAATGGGCCAGGTAAAGTATATTTTTCAAACATGGATGATTACCAAGTAAAACTAATTGATGACAAATTTATCGGATTAGTATAACAAATTAAAGTGAAGGAGTTGCTAATACCTTTGAAGAAGTTGTTGTATATCATGGTTGTCTAAGAATCGATCAAGCATCTCTTGGTATCTTTCGTGCCTGAGGCCTTCCCATTCTTTACGTGGACGAGAGACATTGCTTATCCAGTCTTCATTGACTTCTACTTGCTGCTGATAAGCAGACTGTATTTCATCCCATCCATTAGCTGTATGGGAATAATCACTTACCCAACCACTATCACTTTCAACTAGGTGTTGGCTCGCAGTTTCCTCTTCCCAATCGCTTTGAGGATTAGCGTTATCACTAGACCACTCATTACTAGTTCCTAGATGCTGCTTTATTTGCAGTTCATGGAAACTGTCTGAGCTCTGTGCTTGTGAAGTATAGCTCGGTAAGCTGATGCTAACTTCTCGATTGTTAAGGTCCATGTCATGTTGATTCGATCTACAAGAAAATACTGGATTTGTGTCACTAAACGCCATCTCTTTCTGGGAGTTCGATGAGTTGGTAACGTGTATCCTGGTTTCTATCTTTTTGGGGCTTGTTTGCTTGGATAGATCCTGGTAATGATTCTCCTCGCGTGGTTGATTGGATGTACAAAAGTTTCCAACTTTTAGGATGTTATCTACTACCTCTTTAGTTGTATCTCCTAATGTTATAGGGACACTTCTTGATTTAGCTACACCGGGCTGCAGTCCTGAACTCTCCTTGACCAGCCCCTTACACGGATCCTCTTCTCTCTGTTGATGTGTTGACAATCCAGTTCCTACTTTCGCAGAGTTGCTACGAGCCAGTTCCCTTCGGTGTTTTGGTGTAGAAGGGAGGCTTCCAACTTCACGAGCGCTTTCTACCACTTCCCTTGAGTTGTTTCTTGAGTTAGCAAGATAATGTTGTCCTACTCTATTGAACTTTTCCCTGAAATGGATTAACATTATGGTTTGGTGCATTTTTGTGTTAAATAGCAATATACATAAGAAAAGATCATAACTTTGTTACTAACAAAAGTATAACTTAGTTCTTTCAACTGACACAACTCATAACAAATATGCTGGGATTAGTTATGTTGGCATTAGTTATCCTAATATTATTTCTTATTGACTGTTTGGTTGATATAATAATCCTCAGATTATCAATTTTACTGATTTATCCATCCCAGTATTATTATTAATCCTGGGATATCAGTAACCAAACAAAGGATAAGGCGGTACTAAATTTTATCCCAGGATAATTTTTGCTTATCCATCGTACCAAACGACCCCTTAATAGCAATGGAAAAGGAAACAAACTTAATAAAGAAGCTGATATGCAGATCTAGAACCAAAGACTTATTATGATTTCTTTACAAACTTTGGTACATTCCTTTGAAAAATAAAAGACAGGTCTTTTAGCAGCCACAAATGGAAGGAAAAGAGTCAAAAACAAATAAGATACTTCACCTGAGATGCATAATTGCAGAATGTGTCAATCTATTTGATTCAGACGCTGAGCAATTCACTGATCGGCCATCTCTAACTTCTGCACCACGTCGTATGAGTCTAACTCGAAGCAAAGCCTAGTTAAGATGTTGAATTATAAAGATTAATCAGTACCCTGAAATAGTTAGTCCTGCAAACTTGTACAATACAATACAATACAATACAGTACAATACGTTACAGCCAACCCAACTAAGAAAATTGTTATTAAACAAAAACAAATACTGCATATCCAAACATTACTTCAACAAAACAATACAATACAATGCAATGCACCTGAATGCGGCCTCTTTGTTGGAACTTGGAAACTGCTTTACGTTCCACAAGACGTTGAATTTCCCTATGTCTATCGCGCTCCATTTGCAACAGCAAATCACTAAACGCCTGGCGCCCTCTGATGAAACGAGGCGAATTCAGAACAGGCGAAAAACAACACCTTTGTTGTTGTTCTGAAATATCCAATGTTGTCCTAACTCGAGGCAACGATCCACCATTTACAACAACGTTACCATTATGGTCGCGGCCATGACCTTCATCTCCAATAGTATATGTCAATTTCCTGATAATATCTGAAACTTTCAACCTCTCATTTTCTGTAATATCAGAATCTTTAGTACCCTGAGCAGAATTTGAATCAACGTTATCCGTTTTATCGGATTCCCAATCACCAAATGAATCACTTTTCACAATGCAAGATTCATCACATTCATCAAATCTTTTATGAGGGGACTCCACATATAAAGAATTCTCAGAATTGTTAGCCAAATTCATGGTTTTTGACTCTGCTTCAAAATCTTTCCATTTCCTCACAAGGGAAGAAACACCTCCAAGATTTGGAACATCCAAAGAACTTTCTTTATTCTTCTCTTTGTCCATTGAAAAAACCATATTTCTAGCTTTATCCCATTTTTCAGCAGCTTTACTTCTCTTCTTTGGACTATTATTCTCATTCTTGTCACATTTTGTTTTGTGTACCAATAAATCAGCATGGTTTTGGACTAAATTCTTGAAATGTTTTTGAAAAGGATTAGAATCTCTAGCACTGCATCTATTAAGGACATAACCAAATGGAGAAGAGGAGGCAATTTCTACTTGAGAAGAGGCCATTTTCTTCTTCTAATCCTCTCTTCTTCACCAATCAAGAATGTTAAAAGTACTATATTTTCTGACTATTATTCTAATTTAAAGAAGGTGAAAAAAAAAAACTTTGAACATTTCAATGTTTTTATCTCAAGCAAAAGATTTTAAGACAAGAAGAGAAGAACATGTAACATGAAAATAGGAAACACGGTTGAAAATGGAATAACTAAAAATAATTAACAACAAGAATGAAAATAGCACAAGTTGTTAGGAATATCAACCATAAAAACTTCCGTTAACAATAATAGGAGTAACAAATTATTTTTGTTTCTCTCTCTTACTATAGCTTTATTTTTTGGTTTCATCTAATGAGTCAGTCAAATGTGGAAAATTTGCCTAAAATTTTGGATACGTATTTAAGGTAAAGAGAACTGTTATTATGGGGGGAATTTGAAACGTCAACCGCTCAAGTATAGCACAAACGCATGTTTCGCCTGTATTTAAACACCTTACCTTACCATATTTATTATGGAGTGCAATGTTTGTTTCTCTTTCTTTTTGTACGTCAAAATTGTTTAAAATGGGAGAAGTTGATAATATACTAGAATTTTCAATATGGAAATAAAAAGGGAAAGAGAGAGAATATTAAAAAATCAAGAATATTATATCAAGCGAATAGGGCATGACAAGCAGTGGCGTATGCAGAAATTTTTCTTCAAAGAAATGATTAAATAAATAGATTATTGTAACGACAATCGATGTTATTTTTTATATTTATTCTCAATATTTTAATTTTATTTATTATTTATACATACAGATTACAAAAAAAAATCGACGAAGTGGTGTCACGTGACACCGATTCAAGCAAGGTGCCTACGCCCCTGATGACAAGTTCACCCAAGATGTTACCGGACGGACAATAAAGTGAATGAAAATTTGAGACAAAGAAATCATTAGGCTTCGTTTACTTAAATTTTGACGGACAGAGTTGCTCGATTCATATATTTTGGTAAGAATTAGCAAGTATTTAATTTGATAGAGTATTAGTTTGAAATGCATGCATAAAATGGCTCCAATACTGTTGCTATGAAAAATAGAAAAACATAAGAAAAATAAGAAATAGGGTATGAGTAGGTGGGGTTATGTGATTGGGGATGAAGACGTGTGTGTAAGTCAAGATATGAAAATGTTGAGCAAGCAAACAAGAAGTGGAAGCTTCGCAGAGAAAAGTACCTAAAAGGAAAAAACAGATGACGAGGAAGTAATTTATGTGATGCTTGATACAACAGTTTAAGAGAGCAATAATGGTAGTAACAATGAATTGTACACCCTTTGGAGTGGCCAAATTAATTGAGTAGGAGATTTTCTAAATGAGAAATCTAGAGTTTGAAATCTACTTGCATACTTCGGTTGAGCCCATCAAACGGGTTTGCCTAGTGCGATTTCCCTCCAGTATAGTTCGTGGGCTACTATACAGGAGCGGGTTTTATCTTGTACGTACCTGAAGAATAGCGGCGGCAAATTCCTTTGTTAACAAAAAATAATACTCCTTCCGTTCACTTTTACTTGTCCAATATTGATTTTTCATACCCCTTAAAAAATAATAAATAAAGCACATAATTTATCATGATATCCATATTAATTGATGTATAGTCTTAATGGATTTGAAAAATGATTTGGAATGAGTAATTAATGTCAAGGGCAAAATAAGAAAAAAAAAATATTTTTCTCTTAATATGCGAAAGTAGACAAGTAAAATTAAAAATTTATTTTTAGAATAGTGGACAAGTAAAAGTCAACAAAGGGAGCAATTTATCATACAAAGAGGGGAAATTGAATGATTAGTAAAGCAAAGATAGACGTTGTGTTTGAGCAATTAGGAGAAATAAAAGGTCATTTAATGATCATTCCAATGGAAAATGAGAGGAAATTTGGCTTCACCATTTGAATCAATTCTCCAGTAAAATGGAAAATCTTATTTTAGTTATGTCCTCGTATTACTAAACACCAATCAGAAATGTAAAAAGTTTTTCTTGTTTTCATTGACATCTCTTGTCTTTTGGAAGAGCAATTATGCCTCAACTTCGTTGTTATTTAATCTAATTTAATTAAGTCCATTTCATTCTAATACTATGTTTTGTTTTATGAATAATGGAAAAGAATACTATAAACTAAACCTCCTTTAATCCTTTCAAAAAGAAAGACTATTCCTCTTAATATAGGGACGTTACGAATTTATTAGGTCATAAAGAGAAATAATAAGTGTCGAGCCTGAGTTGTAGTAGGACAATTTTTGCTATTATTGCACAGTTGTAGCATTAAAATGCAGAAGACAGTTGTGGGCTACTAAAATCAGTTGTTAATACTAAGTGCTGGCCTACAATGCCTTTTAAACCCACATAATTCGAAATGATCAAAGATGTCGATGTAAATAAAATTAAAGTAATTTAGTAAAACATGAACAAGAAATGTTGTAAAATAAAAGCAATTTAGTAAAACATGAACAAGAAAAGTTATGAAATAAAAGCAATTTAGTAAAACATGAACAAGAAATGTTGTAAAATAAAAGCAATTTAGTAAAACATGAACAAGAAAAGTTATGAAATAAAAGCAATTTAGTAAAACATGAACAAGAAATAGAGATAGAGAAAAGGAAGAGATTCTTATTTCTTCTTCAATTGTATGTATTTTTCTATCTATTACAACGCCTTTGTATAGACATAAAAAGTGAATAATCACTATTGTAAAATATGTCATTGAACATGTCATTAAGCATTTGAGAGGAAGATCATGGAGTTACAATCATAACTCTATAATTATTAGAGTATTGGGAGTTATGGGGATAATGGAGAAGAGTAGACATCCACCATAATTTAATTTTCTTATAACACTCACCATTGGATGTCCATAGATAATGTGCCTCGTTAAAACCTTATTAGGAAAAAACCCTATGGGAAAAAAATTCCAATGAAGAAAAAAGAGTACACATGTTTAGAAATACGCCTTTTGGTTGCCTCGTTAAAAATCTTGCAAGGAAAACCCCATGGGACAAAACCTTGTAAGGAAAAAAGAGTACAACATGTATTAATCCCTCCCTAATGAGAGCATCAATTCACATCCCTGAGCCTTCGCATCCCAATCTTGTAGTGTTAGCAAGATACATTAGTGCACCAATTGCACTAAGATATGGCACTTCGGGACCAAGAAACTCTTCATTATTTTCATGAGGTCGGAATGAATCTTTATTTATATCAAGTGATCTTACAACCATCGGGGTACTCAATGGATGTACTTTATCCATATAGAATCGCTTTAAAATCTTTTCAGCGTATGTTGATTGATGGACAAAAATTCCATCTTTCATATACTCAATTTGTAGACCAAGATAAAATTTTGTCTTTTCAAGATCTTTCATTTCAAATTCTTTCTTAAACAGTCTACTGCTTTAGGAAGCTCCCCACGAGTTCCAATGATATTTAAATCATCAACATACACGGTATGAATACCTAATTTTTGTACTGTTTTAACACCTCCTAAAGTCATTAGTGTTTTGTTGCTTTAATTATATTTTCTAATTTTTGTGTCTTTGATTGCATATTTCCTATCATAATAGTTCTTTCTTTATTTGTGCATTTTAGGAATTAACTAACTATTCAATTGGTGAATCAATATAGTTAATTGATCATTTGAATAAGTTACTTAATCAATTTATTTGTTTGTGTAAACTTAGTTTAATAAGTAGGATTAAGAAAGAAATTGGGCAAAATTTGAAAGAAAAAGTGACCAAAAGTGCAAGATAAGGGGCTGCCCTTGAAAGGGTCCGAAACGACGTAGTTTTGGTTTCATTAAGTGACCCAAGATCAAATCTCACCCATTGATCACCCCTTGATCTAATGGTCCATATTTTATCTCTCTCAAGAGGTATTTAAAGCCTAAAAAATCTGAAAAATTCTCTCATTTCACCCATAACTCTTTCTCTCTTCTTTCTCTCTCTTCTCTCCGCCGCCGGAAATCACCCACCGGCAGCGGCCAACCTCCAAACACCCCTAAATTCACACCATGTAATCTCTACAACCTCCTCTTTCCATATCTCTAAACCAAATCCTTCAAAAACCTCTCAAACGCCTTGAATTTTAGATCTAGAAAACTTTAGCTGTCACTTTTTTGCCCAAAATCTTGAAGTTCCGGGCACTACCACCCCACGATACCTACATCAACGGATATAGCTCATCAAGACCTACCTATTGATGTCAATTCCATCCCGAAAATCCGACAACTAAAAATCCGGCCAAATTCCGGTGACCACCCCGAACACCCTCGTTTGGTATACCCCTATTCTCATTTCCTTTGTCTATTTTTCCTAATTGTATTGTATTTAGTTTATGTCTAGCATAATTTCTGATTTTTTTATTTATTTATTTTTATTATTATTATTTATATTTTTATTATTAGTTGTATTTAATCTATGTTAGTTTAGTCATTTATAGTTATTAATCACTGATAATTAGTTATTCATTAGTTTTGAAATAGCTATTTGCTTAGTCATGATAGTTTATGATAGAAGTTTCAAGTGTTTAGTGAATTTGTTTTTATTGGATTTGAGTATTTGAATTTTTGTGTTGATAAAAGCTGAAATTAAAGAAGGAATAGTACAAGTTTGGTTGTTTTTACTGTGCAAAGACTTTGGAGTGCAAAACTCAAAAGTCATTGTGTGGTGACAAGTACAATACTTTTTGACAGCTTTTGAACAGTGTTTAGCACACAAAGTCAGTCTTTTGGACAGACTTTTGGTGAACCAAAATCTGTCCAAAAAATCTGATTTATTTGCCTATTTAAAGGGCTCTTTACTCACTGAAAAGGGAGGGACACTTTATTACAAACTCTATCTTATACTGAGACACATCTTGGAGAGTTGCTTAAAGACATATATCTTTGAGAAAAATCAGCAGCTTAATACATATAACAAGCTGAAATTTCAGAGTTTTGTGAGGATTATTTGAGTGCAAAAACCTCGAGAAAAATAGAAAGATCCCTTAGGCAATTTGTGAAGTTGATAGCTACCAGTTTCAAGCATCTTTGTTGAGTTTTCTGGGTTGTCTTAACACTTGAGTTACTGCTGTTTCTACTATATTTGCTGTTG